AACATGGGTTTGCTTATGTGATATTGCTGCTCACAAGTTTACAATCTAAATGTCTAGTTGCCCTTTCCGTGAAATACACATGGTTTAAGAATAATAAAGTATACCTCAGTACAAGAGCCTATTAGCCCGTCCAGCCTGGTTTACCCCAGTTTCCATATTACTTTTCCCCTATAGGGTATGCCAGTCCATTGCAAGGTTACCCCCCCAGCAATTTTTTCAAACTTCCCTAACAGTATTCCAGCCCCAAGTTATGCTCCTGGGTGGAGGGAAGCACTGTGGTAGTAAAGTGCTTTGCCCAAGAACACAACAAAATGTCCCGACCAGGGTTTGAACCTGTGCCTCCTGACCTGGAGTCCAGCGTACCAACCACATCTCTCGCCCCCACCATTCCTTCTGTAAAATTACGTTGCCAGATGTTTTGGTAGGTAATTTAAATGAAGTTATTATTTCAAAATAGCATACCTGGATCGTTCTTAAACAAAGTTACTAATATAAATATAATACCAAAACGTATGTTAGCTTAAGTCCCGGCCAAACGCACACAACATTTCAACTTAAAATCTGTTAGCGCTGTTGCACGTAATGTGTTTCGCACGCTTGGCCACCAGGCTCCGGTTGTTCAAAGAGCGGATAACGCTATCCAACGGATAAATCGCTATCCAGCGGATAAGTGTTGCCAAAACTTACGGTGCTATCCACCGGATAGAGATTTATCCACTGCATAGCGTTATCCATACTTCGAACAACCGGGGCCAGGTGGCAACATGTTGCACGATGTTGTATCGTGTTGGATCAAGTTTAAACATGGTCAAATCTTTGTTGCAAGATGTTACGTGCGTTTGACCAGCTTCTTCACAACATCTTACAACACGAGACGACGATGTTGCATGAACTTGCATTGAACTGTTGCCTACGTTTGACCGGCCTGGACTAGTCTCCACCAAGTGACATCACCAGCCTAAACTCTACAAGACATACTTCTGAACTCCTCTCTTGACTCCTGAGCTGGGTTATGAGGTCTGCATTTTCTTCTCTTAATTTCTGCCAGCCACAATAAATACACAAATAAAGATATAAGAAAATCGTCAATAACTAAATTCATTAAATGACCCGTCCAGCCTTGCTCATGCAATCCCATAGGTGACTGTAATGAAAACTGACATAAGTAGGGCCTTGAGCTGAATATCTTTTCATCCTGCCCTAACAAACTCAGTCAACAAAGTACATAACATCAAATAACGACAGAAAAGTCAAAAAGTAGATTAATAATCAATAAATAAATCAATAAAGTTATAATAATTATCATCAAAACAGTAACTTAAAGACACTCAAACGATTGGTTTTTCCAACACAAGATGATTTTTAATTTTTTCAGATTTTTCATAAAAATATTCAACTACTTCCTCCTCCTTTCTTTAAAGACTTCCAGTACTTTCTTTAAAGAATTCCAAACAATTCAGGACCTATACACAGATGCAAGTCTTCTAGTGAGACAGATCAACAAATGAAGATAATTTAATGTTACTGTTGATTTCTGAATAAAATTTACCATCAACATTTGAACATTGTTCACACATGGTATTAACATACCTGCACCTCTGAAACATCATGGGTACTTGTTTGCCATTGAGAGGCTGTGGATTGATTCATGACTGGTGCCTTCATTGCTCTTCCTTCTGTCACCACAAGATTGAACTCTTCAATTGGTGTTAGAGCACTACTACTATTAATCTCCAAATTAGCAGGCCCAGAAGTTGCCACATCTACAATGAAAAAAAATGGTTAAAACATGGAAGCTATCACTTTTCAATAGTTTTTGCACTATGCAATGACTAAGAGTGTACACAACACAATAGCAGTTTCATTTATTCTTTGTTATTCTTCATGGTAAGTACGCTATCTGGGATTCAAAGATATCATCTAGCAAGCCAAAATCATTAAATGGTGAGAGAAAAATATATGGCCGATAGCTGTTTAAAAAGACTAGGAGGTACTACTAAAATACACCTGATTTTTAAGTTGCTTACATTTGAAGCTTGTTCTGTGGTACCCGGCCCTGGATGCTACTGACATTCTTTGTTCCGGGCTCCTGATTTCCACATTTTTTTGCCCTAATATCTCCTCCTTTTCCTGTAATGTAACCTTCATAATCATGTTAGTTGAAACTCAATCAAAAGCCTAGATGGATAGGGGTTCATGTCCACTAGCCGCTACAGCCGACACAGAGTTCAACCATTAGATGACTTCCAGCTAGAGTCCACTAGTGCGGACAGAAACCCTGATGTAGGTAAAAATACACTTTTCTGATTTGTTTGTTCATAAGGCCACAGTGCCAAGGGGATTTTACTGAACTGAAATGAACTTTGGTTTGGCTGATTCAAATATAACTGAAGCCTTCATTAAAAATATAAATATAAATCTGTTAATTTGGTTTTTATTTTTATGTGAACTGTGAAAGATGCATATGCATTCTTCTAACAATCAATACCATGACAAGTTTTGTATTAAGACTTTCTTAATACAAAAAAGGACTGTAACCTAGTCACGGAAATAAAATTAAAAAAAAAAACAACAAACAAAAAAAATAAACCACCATGAAGTTAACATACCTTTAGTTTCTCTTGTAGATAACGATTTTCGCCATGCAATGTTCTACTCAATTTCATTTCTCTCTGCAGAAAAAAAAAATATGTATGCATCATCATGAGTCATTATGGCAAATATAATTTCATTAGCTTGTGCTTTATTACTTATTCCCACTGGAATGTGATTTACTCTGTTTTTACTTGCACTGAAAAATGACACATGGCTTTCAACTAAAGGACATGTTCATGTATGCATCCATGTAGCAATACACATTACAAACTGGTCAGTTCATAAAAAAAGATTATCAGTATTTAGTATAATTGGTCTGGTGATTATAGAGATGCACACACTCTGATTGGTTGAGGATTGGTTCATATCTTGCTATAATCACCTGACACAAGGTGATTATGGCAGGGGTGCTAAACTTTGCTCTGTGTTTTGTCACTTTTACAGAGGAACTGATGAATGCCATAAAGAAAATTCAATTTCGAAGAACACAAAGGATGCTACTTAGTTTGAAGTAACACTTTTCAGAAAAAGATAAGAAGTTTTTGTTGAGTGAATTAAATGAAACTGTTAAATTCTAGTGGAAACCGACTCTTAATATTTCAAGAGTAATCAAAATAATTGAAACAGAAGGGTTTACGCATCAAAACAAAATATTAATAACAAAAATCAAAAGGATCTAGTAAGCAATTATACTAAAAAAATTATTCACCTTAGTCTCAGTGAATATATATGTTGCAGGTAAGTTTTTTTCGAAGGTAAATTTTATTTTTCACCCGGTACAATATTTTTAACCTTGGTAATTTTGCACCAAAACATTTTTTTCACTTGCTATAGGGTAACTAACTGTTTTTTTTTATTGATAACAGTGATAGAGATATTGGGGTTTGTCAAGATAAGGATATAACAATCTGAGAGAGCAAGATCTTCACTGCAATTAGCCTGATTCTGTCAGTTAGTCAATCAGAGGATTAGATCTAGGTTAAGGGTTCAAGTTAAGGATTAGGTTTGGGGTTAGGGATAAGGTTTAGGTTTAGGGTCAGGGTTCAGATGTACTTGCAGATTGAAGAACAGAAAAAAGGAAGATAGGTTTTGAAAAAAAAAATAAGATGGTTTGCTGTTGCTATAAAACACAACAAATATAAAAATAAACATGAAAGCAGTTTTATTTTCTATTGTTCCATTGCCATTTTACATGCTGCTGTAAACGTTATTTCTTTAGTAGTTTCAAAAACAATATTTGGGCTTGAGCATTTTGTCAATCTTGAGGGGGAAATGAGAGTTGTTATTAAACCAAATTTGGTTGATATTCTTGCATATGTGTTTTCCATTTCAACTATTTTCCCAAATAGAACATTGGGATGAAGTGCAGTACTNCTGGGAAAGCCAACCTGCCAAAAGAGTTGTGTGACTGCTTCTAATACTTCCTCACTGGTTTTATGTGACAGAGGAAAAAGCCAGGAGAACTTGCTGTAATGATCAGTTGCATATAAAAGCCAGTTGTGGTTTTTTCCACAAGAACAATTCAAATTTTGAAAGTCTATCAATTCCAACTGTACGTGTGCCAGAAAATTACTTGCCTGTATTGGTTTCCTTATTGGCCACTACAAATGGTCTGTTGCACTTTTTTGTTGTTGGTGTAGATGGCACAGACCAACAAATAGTGTTACAACATGTTGAGATATTTCTGCATATGTTCTCTTTACAAATTCTTCAGTTTTATCTCTCCCACGGTGTGCGGTTAAAGAATGAGCTTGGGATAAAATGCCGTGAAGTTGGCTATTAGGTACCACAATTTTTCGGTCCTTGGACAAGATGTTGTCATTTTGAATGGTCCACTGTTTCCCCTTAATCGTCCCTACATCTGTCTTTATTAGTCTGAACTGCTCGTGATTCTTGGGTTCATTTTTGAGCCAGTACTTCGCATTCTCGTAAAATTTATCATCTATGTAGACAGTCAATTTACTGTTACTTTTTTTGGAGCCTTTAAGAGCATCTAACTTTTCATAAAACGGGTCTTTAGTGACACAAAATGGTACACCCTCCATCACTTTCTTTGCTTTTGATGATTAAGTCCCATTTTCATACAAGTGCGCAAGTGCATGCATGTTTTGCATAAATTAAATTTTGACCGAGGTGAGTCTGGTACCAAAGAGAGAATAAATGGAAGAAAAAAGTAAGTATTTAGAACAAGGACTGTGTGGTATAGAGAAGAGTGTGATGGACAGGAAATCTAATCTGCTAGGAAGGTCTTAGGTTCAATACGCAGAGGGTAAGTAATGCTTCTTTATTCTCAATGAAGTATTGGTATTAATATAGATGGAACTTAGTTATTATTTAATAACCAGAATTGTGAGATAGTGAAAGAGTAGAGGTGGATAGAAGGAAAAAGGGACCAAGAGAGGAATGTGAAAGTGATATAATTAATTTTGTTAATTCCTCTCTATCTTTTAAGAACCCCCTAAAAATACCAGGCCCCTATTTTTCATCCACACCCCAGAAAATGAAGGCCCTTTTTTAGACAGTTGACTGAGTAAAAATTACCTGGTTAAAATAGAAAATACCTAGTTAACAAATACCGACACAGACACAAGGACTGGGAACTACCAAATTCACAACTTTGATTGGCTGAAATCAATATTAAAAGCAGTCTATATTTTTCCATCTAGACTGGCATCTAGAGCAGTCTAGAAAAACAAGGTACAAAGAACATAAAAAATGGCATATACGAGATAGCCATAAACATCTTATTAACCAAGCTAGGTTGGTCTGTATGAGAGAATCTTGACCTCAGTCGCTGGTACAGACCTCACCGTGTTCGCTCTGTACTGGTGACATCGGTCAAGATTCTCCCATTCAGACCTCCCACTCTGTTAATAAGAACTAAGTATTTTACAAGTTATGGAGTATTTTGACAAGCCTGTGGGGTGAGTCAATATACAAATAACGAGTAAAAATTCAGCAATACCACACAACAAAACGTCTAATCAGAGATTTACTATCCAACACGCCAAATTGTTATTTCAATGTGGGCAAATTTCACAGATATTTTTTTAGTCACTCATGCAATAAGAAAAACCTGTCAAACCAGTTCTCTGGGGTAAAAATACCATGAGATATTTGTGCTCATTTTGGGAGTTATTCCTACCCTTCAAAGCACAGTCAGATAATAATGTTGACTATTCCATTGAATTTGTCTTGGGGATTATTCAACAATATTTACTGAGCCTGAGGTGAATAATTGTGTAGCAGCAATGGACAGAAACCGAACCAAATGAATAATTAAATCAAGTCCTATGAAGTGATAGCAATCTTCAACAAATTTTTAACTCTTGAGTTAAAACATTTGAATGAAAGTTGCTAAAGAAACTGTGGTGCACTGTGTCAGTGGGGAAGTATTACAAGATATTTTGGTTTTATCAACTGAGTCGACAATGTAAATTGGCCACTGCTTTCATCATTCACTTGGACAAAAGGTCTACACTTGAAACATATTAAGCTTTAGAAACTCTTGATGTTGGCCAATTTACAACATCAACACATATAAATAAATGATCTTTTAATGTTTAAGACACAAACCTCTAAACTCTCCTCAAGGGCTTTAATCTCTTTTCTCGAAGTCTAGCACACATGATAAAAACATAAAATAAAGATCTAACAAAATCACCAATAATTGAAACATCAGTCAATAACGGATATAAGTTACCAGGGAAAGGGTTTGATTTGATAAATGATCTTTTAATGCTTAAGACACAAACCTCTAAACTCTCCTCCCCAGTCCTGAGCATGGCGCCAAGGGCTTTAATTTCTTTTCTCGCAGTCTAGCACACATGATAAAAACATAAAATAAAGATCTAACAAAATCACCAATAATTAATACATCAATCAATAATGGATATAAGTTACCAGGGAAAGGGTTTGATTTTGTAAATCATAGCATGTTATCTGCTAAACTTTTTAGCAGCTAACTCTGAAACCCTGAAAAGTCAATTGGCAAGACAGCTTCTTGCATGAGCATGCTAGACAACAGTGCATTTCCTGTAGCAATTACAAATGTGATTGCTGGGCTGTTAATAAGGAAACCATGCAAGGAAACGCAAGCAGTTCTTATCTTTTAAAAATTGTTTTGAAAGACCTAGACATCGTTGATAAATTGGTACTCTAGCCCAGACGACTCTACTACAGAAACAAAGGTGATCCTTCTGTAAGCCTGGTTGAATGGTTTTTGATATGTTCCAAAGGAAATAACAAGTCATGTAATCTGAGTTAATGTAAAGAACTAATTAATGAAGTAAAGAAGAAAAAATTAAATAAGTAAAGAAGATAAGCAGCAGCAGCATTCAGTTCAATCCGCTGAAATGTTTTGTAACTTGGATTTTAAGACTTGAGCGATAATGCACAACAAGGAGAATAAAACATAGATTAAATAGCTGCATCATTATTGTTCATTGCAGTGAATGCAGTTTGCATATACCTATGATATTAATATGTCATAAAAGCACTGTACTTTGTACCTAATCATAGAAATAAAATTGTAAAAAAAACCACCACCACAAAAAAATCTGCCATTAAGTTAACATACCTTTAGTTTCTCTTGTAGATAACAATTTCGCCCATGCAATGTTCTACTCAATCCGGGTATTCTCTGCAGAAAAAAAAACATTCTTCATCATGAGTCATTATGGCAAATATAATTTCATTAGCTGGCGCTTTATTACTTATTCCCACTGGTATGTGATTTACTCTGTTTTAACTTGCACTGAAAAATGACACATGGATTTCAACTATAGGACATGTACATGTACACATCCATGTAGCAATGCAACCTGGTCAGTTCATAAAAAAAGATTATCAGTATTTAGGATAATTGGTCTGGTGATTATAGAGATGCACACACTCTGATTGGTTGAGGATTGGTTCATATCTTGCTAATCACCTGGCGCAAGGTGATTGTGGCAGGGGTGCTAAATTTTGCTCTGTTTGTCACTTTTACAGAGGAACTGATTATGATGAATGCCATAAAGAAACTTCAATTTCAAAGAACACAAAGGATGCTACCTAGTTTGAAGTAACACTTTTCAGAAAAAGATATGAAGTTTTTGTTGAGTGAATTATATGAAACTGTTAAATTCTAGTGGAAACTGGCTCTTAATGTTTCCTAAGTAATCAAAATAATTAAAACAGAAGGGTTTAAGCATCAAAACGAATATTAACAACAAAAATCAAAAGCACCTGAGCAATAATACTAAAACAATTATTCACCTTAGGCTCAGTGAATATATATATATCTTATTAAACATTTTGTTGTGTAGTGTCGCTGAGTATTTTGCAAGTTATGGTGTATTTTGACAAGCCTGTGAGGCAAGTCAAAATACAAATAACGAGTAAAAATTCAGCAATACCACACAACAAAACGTCTGATAAGATATTTATTATCCAACATGCCAAATTGTTATTTCAATGTGGGCAAATTTCACAGATATCTATTTTGTCACTCATGCAGTAAGAGAAAACCTGTCAAACCAGTTCTCTGGAGTAAAATACCACAAGATAGTCGTGCACATTTTAGGTGTTATTCCTACCCTACAAAGCACAGTTCGATAATAATGTTGACTATTCCCTCAACTTTGTCTTTGGGATTATCTAACAATTATTCTTTGAAATTGAGGTGAATAGTGGCTGAATATTTACCAAGCCACGAAGCGGCGAGGTAAATATTCCCAAAAGCCACTATTCACTGAGATTGAAAAGAATAATTTTTTTAGTATATACACACGAAGTGATCTCAACAAAATTAAAAGGAAACCATTTAAAGGCAATTTCTGCTTCTGAAACTTTAGCGAAACGCGAGTTTACATCCGCCATTTTTTTTTCACATTATCCACTCGCTCGGAGGTGTATATTGTTGAATAGCCCGAGATAGCGAACCAATCAGATTGCTTGAAACACCAAGATCACTGAGTGTGTGTATACTAATCAAGAATATTCACTGAGCCTGAGGTGAATGTGTGGTTCCAGAAAATATCCAAACCCCCTACAGAAGATCCTTGGAAATTCTGAGGGGGAGGGGGGGTCCAAGGGCAGTAATTTCCGAAGGGTAGGAGGTTTCATGGGAAACTACTTTTCCAAAGGGTGAGGAACCACATAAAAAACATTGAAAGCAACACACGATTGATCTGAAGCACAAAAACATACTGACGTACGTTGTTTTGAAACAAAAGTCAGTTCTCCTGGCCATTGAGATAAAGTTAACATTGTAAGCTTTAATGTTTCGTTTTTCTTTGACTTAGCTGGCGCTACAATAATTGTTATGCAACAATGGACAGAAACCAAACCAAATGAAATATTACATCAAGTCATATATAAAGCAATAGCAATCTTCAACAAATTTTTACCCCTTGAGTTAAATTGTTTGAATGAAAGTTGCTAAAGAAACTGTGGTACACTGTGTCAGTGGGGAAGTATTACAAGATAATTTGGTTTTATCAACTGAGTCGATAATGTAAATTGGCCACTGCTTTCATCATTCACTTGGACAAAAGGTCTACACTCAAAACATATTAAGCTTTAGAAACTCTTGACGATGGCAAATTTACAACATCAACACAGTCAATAAAAATAAATTACCTTCGTTAAATAATATTTAAGACACAAAACTCTAAAACTCTTCCCCCGATTCCTGAACATGGCTCTAAGGGCTTTATTTTCTTTTCTCAAAGTCTAGCACACATGATAAAAACATAAAATAAAGATCTAACAAAATTACCAATAATTAATACATCAATTAACAACAGATATAAGTTCAGGCAAAGGGTTTGATTCTGTAAGTCATAGCATGTTATCAGGGGTTTCATTAATTTTTTCAGCAGGAGGGCAACTGGTTTTCACAGGCGGGCAAAACTTTTTAAACTTAACTTCTTTATAAGATAAACCTTCCTCCAGATTGTTAAACCAGGTGGGCAAAAC